CCTGGAAATGATTTAGGAAAATTGGGAAGGATTAATGAAAGGGCCAAGGGAAGAAAACGGAAGCAACTCTATCGTGTGTATCCTAGACAAAAGAGAAAAAAGAAAGATTATAGCAGTATGTAGAAGGGTGGCAATATGGAAGAAACTGGAGAAAGATTCAGATGTGCTTGAAATTGGGGTGAAGTAGCTTAGGAAGGCTAATGAAGAAAGAAAAAGAAAGGAAGGAAGGAAGGAAAGAAGGGAGGAAGGAAGAAAGAGAAAAAGAAAGAAAGGAAGAAAGAAAGAAAGAAAGAAAGAAAGAAAGAAAGAAAGAAAGAAAGGAAGAAAGAAAGGGAGGGAGGAAGGAAGGAAGGAAGGAAAGAAGGAAGAAAGGAAGGAAGAAAGAAAAGTCAAAGAGAATTGGAATCAACAGAAGAACTCCTGGGTAGGAAGTAGAGGAAAGTAAGGAAAGCTTGGCAAAAACTGGAAAAACAAGGTAAGTACTGTGCCCAGTCCACTGTGAGCATCTTTCTGCTGAGACCCCATGAGCCACGAACTAGTAAGAGGCATAGAGATATTACGAAGAGCTTGCTTCAGCTTTGAATCTCCAGGACCTAAAATGGAAGCTGGCATGGAGTTTTAGGCTTAGGAATTAATTAGAAATCTTATTTGAGACCATTTTGTTCTCTACTAGAAAAGTGAAATTTTAAAATGTTTTCGACCACGCTTATAAATATCTGTCATCAACACAGGAATTTGTCAACAAAATTTATGACTCACTTCACTAAATAATTTAATCGACCTCAACCTTCCCTTAAAGCTGTTCTGGAGCTTCTCAAAGGATCTTAAATGTGTGGAAGAGAGACAGAGCTGGGAGATATGCCCCCTTTGGCTACAATGCAGAATCAAAATAGTGTCTCTTGTTTTGTTTGTTTTTTTAAAAAATTCCAGTCCAAGTGGCATCTGTCCACCCTAAAATGACTTCAATTGAGTCAGCCCTTCTGCTTAGGGGCTACACAGCTCCTTTGGAACACAGCCAGAGAGACAAAATCCATTTGTCAGCATACTCTCTCCTGGCTGGTGTGGCACATGCAAGCACACATGTAACCATCTGTATATTTAGAAAAGAGAGCACTTTATAATTAGAAAATAATTACTTCTTCTGGCATTCATTTTAAATAATAATCCTATTGAATCTTTGGCTCTAATTACAGGGATGATCAGAAGCATCCCTTGGGAAGTGTGGGTATAGCAAGGAGGGAGTGGAATATTCAGAAAAGCTTCCCATCCATCCAGGGTGAGATCCAGCCAGGCTCTTATGCTATTGGCAAGATGTCGTGATTTTCCTGCCATCCTTATTAGAGATGCACCCAACTCCAGGGACACCAGACACATGTTAATGAAACATTCATTTACTGTGACTTACAAGTCACAAATATAGCTTCATGACAGAGCCCAGCACGAAAAGAATGACCTTGGGCATATATGCAGTCATGAGAGCAGTCAGGAAGGGACAGGCTTCCAGGGCTGAGAAATAGCTACATTTAAGGCCATCCTAGCTAAGTGACTTGAGAAAAGCCGGGATGGGCAGGCAGGGGGAAGGAGAAAAGGTGAAGCATGAGGATATTTTCAGTGTATGGGTCCTTGATATATCTAATAATAAAGCACACTAATTGACCCAAACTGGAAAATCAATAACATCTCATTCTATTACCAGCTTTGGCCCTCTGAAGCAATTACAAAGAATGTGTGTATTTCTGGGACCTCTGGTGTAATAGAGCCCTTGGTGTGAGCACCCTGTTATTTTCCAATACAAGGAAAACAACAATTAATTCCAAAGAAGATGGTCATGATTTGGCTGATTGGGCAGATGGCAAAACAATCCCACCCAACACCACCCCTAGGGGGATTGAGGGCCAAAGATAATTGGTAGGGGTGGGGGGAAAGGAGGAGATGCTGCCAGAGTAGATGAGCACATCATCATTCTGTGTGCTCCTCCTAGTCCCTGCTCCCCCCTATTTTTAACTTGGTGAAATTAGGTAATAGCACCATGGGCAGCCTTGAAAGGAGAATGGTAGGGGTTCAGTGGAGACACTCAAAAGAAGCCCAGGGGGGCATGCTAGTGAGAGTGTAAGAGATGAGGGACAGTCTTATTCTTTGCATGGAGATGGTGGGAGGAATTAAAGGCTAATAAGGGACAGCTTGGTGGCTTAGTAGAGTACTGAACTTGGAATTAGGAAGACTCCTCTTCCTGAGTTCAAATCCCACCTCAGATACTTACTGACTGTTTGACCCTGGACTAGTCACTTAACCCTGTTTGCCTCAGTTTCCTCATCTGTAAAATGAGCTAGAGAAGGAAATGGCAAATCACTCCAGTATCTTTGCCAAGAAAACCCCAAAATGTAGTCATGAAGAGTCAGATATGACCGAACAACAAAAAAGGTATAAAAGCCTCAAGGTGCTTTCAGCCTCAATTTGCTGGGATTCACTTCCTTCACATGTATAGCCGTCTGCTTAAGTCACTGCCCAGCCACCAGTAAAGGGGTGGGGCAAAAGGTAGGGACTAGAGTTGTCAACCCTAGTTCTAGGGATCAAGCAAGTAACAAGCATTCCTTGATATGTGTTGGGCACTGGGCTAAGCATTAGGGACAAAAAGAAAAGGGGAAAACAGTCCTTGCCCTCAAGGAGCTTACATTCTAATGGGGGCAACCATGCCACATATATAGGAATATACATCATACATACAAAGTACAAGAGGAAGATAAATGGAGTAGGATGAAGAAGAGAGCTGCCTTTCAGGTTCCTTACCTCTAATTCTTGAATACTTTGTATGGGCGTGTGATCTCATCAATGAGGGCATTCCTTCCTTTGGTACAAATATGTCCATACCTTATCATGTATGATTTTTATCCATGTTCTCCAATAGATCATCATGCAAGATGTAGTGAACATGCTGGAGGCCTTCTTCTGTTTCTTTTTACATTTCCTGGGTACCAGAATAGCATATGGCTTGTTCATCTATCATTGCTCATATTATGCTTCATGACTGGTCCACTTCTTTTTTTGAGCATACATTTCTTGAATGATATGATATACATTGCTTCTTGCCCACTGGTCATCACCGTAAACAAGCTGCATCCTACTTATGCTCACCATATATACCTCTTTCCATTACCTTTTGAGTAACCTACAACTTTAATTCTTCAGAGACTGAAGTTCCAGGATTTACAGTCTTGTTTCCAAGATATAGCATCACCAGGAGAACTTTTGTGTTGTTGTTGTTGTTGTTTTTTCAGATAGGTTTTTTTTGCAGGGGAGCAATTTGGGATTATACACTGTACAATTTCCCAACTAAGATGGTATTCCAGATTGTAATCTGGATTTCTGGAACAGATTTCAAAAGAGTTCAAAGAAAAGACACATAGGATGCCATGAACTAAAATTCTGCAGGGGTACAGTCCAAAAAATAAGGGAAGCTCAAAGAGATGAAATTCTAGGCACAAAGGGAAATAATTCTGATGAGTTGTCTAAAAATGCTAATGATGGTACCCAAAGAACTCATCAAAAACTTACATTTTAAAAAGCCATATACAGAATGAAACCAAGTGAATTCATGGAGAATGAACACTAAAGTGTGGCTTGATCTGAACAAAAATAATATTAGCAACAATTAAGCCCAGAATCAGCTAAGGCTGACTGGTAGATCTAAAGACAACAACAACAATTTTTTTAATGTTTTGTTTTTTTCTTTAGCTATATCAGGGGAAAGAGGGCAAAAACAGGATAAGATCTCTTCTCAAGGTGAAAGGAACAATTATAAATAGCGGAGAACTCAAAGGCAGCAAGGTTCAACTCTTTTTTTGTTTCTCATTTCTCTGGCAAGGGAAAGATTTTTGGCTAACAGGGAGTTGATGCCCAAGGTAAGTTAAGGACAGAGGAAAACAGCACCTACTTATCTTTGAAGAGTTCAAGTCATCAGGTGGCCAGATGAAGTACCTCTTGGGATAATCATGAATGGTTGAGGTAACACAGGACTGAGGAAAGGAAATGTTCTGACTTTCCAAAAATGGTAGTTTGTAAAGTATAGCTCAATATACCAGATTCTGAATCCTGACAAATTCTAGAAATTCAAGGGATGATTAGTGAATAACTAGAAAAAGAGATGAAGACCACAATAATCTAGTATGGCTTTGTCAAGAAGAAATCATACCAGACTAACCTTATTTGCCTCTTCCATAGGATTACTAGATAGGTAGAACAGGGGAATGCAATAGATACAGTTAGATTTGATTTTAGCAAAGCACTTAACACAGTATCTCCTGTTATTTTGTAGACAAGATGAAGAGATACAGGCTCCACAATACTACAGTTAGGAGGATTTAGAACTGTTTGAATGAACAAATGGCAAAGAGTAGTCATTGATGGTTCAGTGCCAACACAGAAGGAGGTTTCCAGTGGAGTGACCAAGGGATCTATTCTTGGCATTCTGTTGTTCAACATTTTTATCATTGACTTAGATAAAAGGAAAAAATATGATCCTTATCAGATATGCAGATGACACAACGTGAAGAGACAAAGCTAACATATTGAATGACAGGCTACAAACAGGCTAGAACGCTAGGCTGAAATAAATAAAATAAAATTGAATAGTGATAAATGTAAAGTCTTACTCTCGGGTACAAAAAAATCAACTTTACAAGTAGAATCAGTAATGAAGCCCAGGAAACCATGGTGCCCTAGGGCACCAAAATCTGGAGAGTACCAAAAGCACTACCCTGGGGCACACTTCCTTCCTCCCTTGACCCAACCCTCCACTGACTGGCATTGGCTGATCCTTCAGCAATAGAAAAACCTAATGATATCCTGAGGTACATTTTATTCCCTCAGTGATCACATCACTCCTCCATGACAACTCCCACCCCTGACGGAGGAATAAGGGCCCATTAAGGAGCATGCTCTCCCTCCACTCCAGATAGTCATACTAGTGGCTTCCAGCACCCCACCAAAATACCTCCCCTTACTCCAAAGAAGTATCCATTCCTTCAATAACATAAAAGGAAGTTCTATGTAGGTGTCTTTTGGAAAACTTAGTGTTGATGTCCTGGGTGAAGCATGTCTATTCATATGGACATGAGGCCAGCAAATCCGTCTAGCCATTTGACATTGACCCATCCCATCAAGATCATCAGATTTGTTCCATTTTCTCATTAACGGCTCAGATAGAACAGGCATAATCGACTGGTGTTAGTGAGGGTTAGTGAGATCTGGGTTGGGGGTGGTGATAGTGAGGGAAAGGCACAATGTGAGGAGGGACAGTGTAAAACCAGAAGGGTGAACACCCCCCTGTGTATAAAAGAGAAAATACAGCCCAATGTTTATGGCTCTTTGTGTAACCAGAGAAAGAGTCATCAATCTTTGGGGTTCTGGATTTATGGAAAATAATAGAAAGTTTGTACCTTTTCAAGTGGAGACCTAAGAACAGAAAAACCACAGATGTCCATTTTTAGAGCTTTTCTGTTTTAAAAAGGAAATGCCATATGAGTAGGTCACCTTATTAGGTGATTACTAAACCCAAGAGATCTGGCTTCTGGTACAAATTACACAGAAAAGACGCCGGCAATGAGCCAAGTACCCACATAGCTTACTTTTGTTTAAATAGGAATTTAATTAAACAGAAAAGTACACCTGGTTGTCAAAGTTTCATAAGGGTAACAACTGTGCAAATAATTATGAAAAAGGTCATCGTTACTGAAAAATTTCAACAACAAGGCCAGTAATCAACACTAGTGCAAAACTTTAATATAGAGAATCAGTCATTCATATTTTAGGTTTATACAGCAGCTGAATGCCACAGCCTCACTGGTCTAGTTCTGAGTGGGAAGTAAGAAAGGCAACAGGACAAGGAATAGTCCCATCCTTACACCAAGTCCTTGATAACACAACAATGTGCAAAAAACACAAATATATACAGATGTGACATTGGTAAAAATGCTGAAAAGTTTGTACAAAGAGAGGACTATCACTGTGATCGACAGTTTGGCTTGTTTTCCCAGTGAGTCTATCACAGATCCTATCCTGCTAACATCTCAATGAGGACAGCAGGTCATAGTTTCCAAAGCATCTTAAGGCACTGTAAACTGGGAATAGCTACAGTCTTATAACTGACTATGAAGTCCCCTTGCATGAGATCTCTGCTCTTCTCTCTCACTCTTTGCTAGCCGGTGATTTAGCTGTGGAGTCTGTCTTCTTCTTTGCAGGGGCATTGGCCCCTGCCTTCTTGGCAGGGGTGGCGGGTGGCTGAACTTTGCCTCTTCCGATGACCGGTTTCCTCTGTTTCTGGTTATTGGTTTGAAGGGATTTTAACCCCAGCATTTCACAATACTTATTACACTGGTGTAGGGCTTTAAATTGATCAATGAAGGTCATGGAACAGTTGCCTTTAAAACCTTTGTACCTGTAAGGGAGGAAAGAGAAAATTTTAAATGGAGACCTTACCAGAAAGAGCTGGTCTATCAGACTTGAAAGAAGAGAAATTGATGGATAGAGGAGAAATATACAATCCACATTTAGAATCATTAGATTGTAGAGCTGGAGTGGGGAAAGACCTCAAAGGCCATCTCATTCAACCTTCTTTTACAGGTGAGAAGGACTGAAATCCAAGTTATATGGTTATGTGGTTTCACCATTTATCACACAGGTAGTAAGCAACAAAAGCAAGGTATTAGAAACTAAGTGAAAGACAAGCATATCAATGATGGTGAAAACACAATGAATACAATGGAATTAAGGGTAAGTAAAATTAGTCTTTAACAGTAGAGGTCAAATCCACTTTGACATGATATCATAAAGAGTTCTAAGGCTTAACAGATCTTATAATGTCAGTGTATTTTGCATTCTTGCTTTTATTCGTATACCTAGGGATAGACCATGTTGACAGGAACTTGGGAGAAATCTCAGTGTCATGGAAGTCCAACAACCAATACAAGTAATCTTCACCCTTTCCTTTTCTTCCTATCACATTTTCCTTATGAAAGGAATACTATAATTTTATTTAGAGCTGGACAGCATCTCAAAGATCATACAGTCACTCCACTAGCTAATTTATAGCTAAGAAAACTGAAACACAAGGAAATGAAATGATCGGTCCAAGGTCACAAAATTTCTTAGCAGCAGTAGGAGGACTAGAACTCAGGCCTCCTCATTCAAGATTTACTGCTTTCTCCACTATCCTAAGCTGGATACCCAAAAGACCATTTACCTTGGGCTCAACAGCCTACCCAGGAGCTTGGCATAAAAAACAATTTTTTAAAAAATTCTGAACTTAAACACCAAATAAAATGAGCATATCTACATGCAAATAGATATAGATAATGAAGATTATACATAAAATAGTAACCTCTATGACATATAGCATCCCTTTCCTTTTAAGTATATAATAAAATTCACTATGTTCTTCTTAAGCTGGCCTGCTCATGTTTCCTTTTATACTTCATTCTGTTCTCTTCTGTAGATTTTGTAGATGCTTCACTGACCCTCTTTTCTTTTTTTTTCCATAGTAGTATTGCTAGGCTCTCTTCCTCCCCCCACCAATTTTTTTTAAAGGAAAAACAAATATGAAACATGTATGTATACTAAGCGAATCAAATTAGCAGGTTGGCCCTATAGAAAATTATGTCTCATTTTGTACCTTGACATCATCACCTCTCTGTCAGGAGGTGGATAGCACATTCGTTTTTGGTCCATTGGAGTTGTGGTTGGTCATTTCTTTGATCAAATTTAAGCCTGGTACTGTTCAATTCATTCTGTATAATTTTGCACAAGTCTTCCTAGGTTTTCCTGGATCCATCCCTTTCCTCATTTCTTATAGTACAATTCCATTCCATTCCATTCCATTCACACATCATAATTTGTTCACCAGTTTCTAACTGATGGGCACTCCTTTAGTTTCCATATCTTTGCTACAACAAATAGAGCTGCAATAAATAATTGTACACATGTGTCTTTTTGCTCTTTCTTTGATCTCTTTGAGGTATAGGCCTAACAGTAGCATAGCTGGGTCAAAAGAAATACACAGTTTAGTGACTTTTTGGATATGGTTCCAAATTTCTTTCCAGAAGGGTTGGACCAATTCATAGCTCCAGAGCAAGAGTACATCCATCACTGTGCCTATCTTCCTATAGAATCTCCAGTAATCATAATTTTCCTCTCTTGTCCTCTTTACAAATCTGGTAGCTGTGAGACAAAAACTCAGAGGATTTCTAATTAGTATTTATCTAGTTTTTTTGGTGATTTGGAGCATTTTATATGGTTTTTGATAGCTTGAATTTTTTCCTGTGAGAACTACCTGTTCCTATCCTTTGACCATTTACCTTTTGGGAAATGGATCTTATTCCTACATATTAGAATCTTTTCCTTGCATATGTTGGATACTAGATCTTCAGCAGAGAAGCTGCGAAAACGTCTTCCTAGCAAACTATTTCTATTACAATTTTAGCTGCACTGATTTTTATATAAAAATGTTTCAATTTTATGTAATTAAAATTGCCCATTTTGTTATCTCTGATTGTCTCTATTGCTTTTGAGTATGAATTCCTCCCCAATCCATTTCCTTCCCTGTTCTTCTAATTTGTTTATGATGTGACTTTTTATGTCTAAATCATGTATTCATTTGGAGCTTATTTTGGTCTATGGTATGAAATGTTGATCTAAACCAGTATGGGGTGGACAGTGCATAGTTAGGGTCTTTGGGTTTATTGAACATATTGTATGCTTAATATGTTCTGCTAAGTGATTTTTCTATTTTTTTTAACCAAAACTAACCAGTTTTGATGATTACTGATTTGTAGTAGAGTTACAGATATGGTACTGCTAGAACTCCTTTTACAGTATTTCTCTTGAGATCCTTGATCTTTATTCCTCCAAATGAATTTTGCTAAAAATGAAAAATTTAATCTCTATAAAGTAATAATTTGGTAGATTGACTGGCATGGTACTGAAGAAGTAAATTTTTTTTAAGTAATTGAGGTAATATTATGTAGCCCTATGTTTTAATAGATTTTAATTTAAGTAACATTGTAATTTTTATCAATATTGACCTGAATCAACCATAAGCAGTTAATATTTCTCTAATTATTTAGGTTTTCTTTTATTTCTCTAAGGAGTATTTTATAGTTGCATTCATATAATTTATATATATATATGTAAACTTCTAGGTATTTCATATATTCTGCAATTGTTTTGAATGGAATTTCTTTTTCTAGCTCTTACTGCTGAGTTTTGTTGGTAGTATTAGAAAAGCTTGATGACTTAACACAGAAATAATTTTACCAGTTCTCATAGAGATGGCTGTCCTCTATCACTCCTAGATTGTTTTTGGAATGAAAGCAAACTAAAGAATCTTTAAAGTCAGAAAGAAAAAAAGATACCTAAATGTTGTCATGCTTGTTATCACAATGGATGACTTGGCAAACTTGAAAGGTGGAAGCCAAAGACATGGAAGGCTTAGCAAATACAGCAGCCACATTGAATGACACACTTAACTTTAGTATATTTAGAAATCAACATGAAACGAACTGATGCTGAGTGAAGTGAACAGGACCAGCAGAATATTGTACACAGTAGCAGCAACACTGTGTGATGACCAACTTTGATAGACTTAGCTCTTCTCAGCAACACAATGATCTAAGACAATTTTGAAAGACTCATGATAGAAAATGCTATCCACATCCAAAGAAAGAACTGTGTAGTTTGAATGCAGATTGAAGCATGCTATTTTCTCTTTTTTTGGTTTTTCTTCTTATGAGTTTCCCCTTTCGTTCTGATTCTTATTTTTGCAACATAACTAATGTAGAAATAGGTTTAATTAAAAAAAAAGAAATCAACATGAAAATAACTTATTTTTTATCCTTATTCTGCCATTACTTAGTGTCTTCAAGGCTTGGCTAACACCCTAATATGCCATAAAGAGTACTCAGTTCTTGAACTGTGAAAGCAGAATGGGCTACCTTGTGAGGTAGTGAGTTGCCCATCACTGAGGGTACTCAAGCAGAGACTAGATGTTCATTGCTGTCAATTTTTGTGAAGAGCTTTCAGAACATCAGTTTGTTACCCAACATAGGAACAACAAGCACTCTGTACTTTCTGTCATTTAAGTCTGATAAATTGCCCAAATGTTCTGGGAGCAATTGGGGCCTACTTTTACTCTCTGAATTTGAACTGATAGCCATGGAAATCAAGGTAATGTAGCTGGACCTGAGAAAATTTGAGGGTAAGCAAGTCAAAGAAACTGTCAGAGCAGTATTTTCTTGGAGAAGGTCTTAAAATAATTCCTCTATGGTTCCTTGCAAACTAACCACAGAATCACAGAATTTTATCATCACATGGAAATAGAGAAGTCTAGTACCAGCCTGGTCTAGCAGAGAAAGTCACACAAGAAGCTGAATGAAAATTCTGGCTCTAGTATGTTTCATCAAACCTTTAGCTTTTTTTTCAAGGCAACTTCCAATTGTATTTGCTGACAAAAGAATGTGTTTTAGTTTGTCTCCTTATTATTTTCTGTGAATTATTTTAGCCACATCTACTATGACGAAAGAACAAGGGTTCTTTACGGGTTGGTACGAGGTCCAGCATAGCAGATGCTTAAATAGCTGAATTCTCCAATGGGGTATGGCTTTTCATCTTTGCATATTAAATAGGGAATGTCATGAGCTTCTAAGCGTTTAAAAAATTTAGTGAAATTTCATAACTTTAAACATTTGATGTTTTTCATCACAGATGCTTAGATTCAAGATGCCTTTTAATTGTGGCTTCATACTGTCATTGGTTAATATCTTCAAGGCATGATACACACTAGGGTAACATTTAGTATTAATAATAGTAAATATTAAGCTATATTTCAAATAATCTTCTTGCAAATTTTGAATTGACAACTTCTTGTCAAATCTGATTAGATCATTATTGGTTTCCCCTCATAATTGAGGCTCTCTTACTTGCCTGCTGCCTATGACTTTGGTGAGTCATTCCTCTTTTCTGGGGTTTCCTTTGCTGTTGTAAAAAATGAAGGGGTTGATACTACAGAGGGGACAACACCAAATAGGGTCTGCCCACTCCATCTAAGACTATAGGGGGAGGGGAGCTTGGCCCTGGCAAAAACACAAAACAATAAAACGAAGAGGTTGAACTAGATGATCTCCTCTCACATCACCCATGATGTCATTGGCCCTCTTTGAAAACAAAGGACAAAACAACAAAGATAATCCTATGTGACTTGGATTCAAGTCCCAGTGTTACTATGTACTATATCCTGAATTTGGGCTAAAAACAATTAAAAAAAAAAGCAACCACAACAATTGCACAAGTTTTTTGTTGTTTTTTTTTTTTTTTAAAGAAAGACACGGCTAGAAAGTTGCTCATGTGAAAGTGGACTGCATCTCCAAATGAATCAGCAATGTGGTT